AGGTAGATAGTAATGCATTACATGAAATCGATGTGCTAATTGACTCTATTGATACCAGTAATGTATCAATTCGTGTTAATGAAATTACGAATGTCTTGTCGCAAGCTCTTGTAGACGCAGCCAAAAATACATATTGGTGTAAAGCTATTCCAAAAGGGGGTAAAGCAAAGCATAAACCGTGGTTTAATAAATCATGTAAACTGGCTCGAAAGAATTACCATACGCGCAAAAGGTTATATGGGTTACACAAAGGCAATGTCGAAAGAGAATTGTTCATTTCGGCCAGTAAACACTATAGAAAAACTATTAGAAAGTCTTACAAATTATTTAAGAACAAAAGTACTCAGCGGCTGCGCGAGACGAAAAGCAGTGACCCTAAAACGTTTTGGGGTATCTTGAAATCATTTGGTAAAAGCGAAAACCAGCCGTGTGAAATTGAAATCAATACATTATTTAACCATTTAAAAGAATGAATACCGATGTACATAACAATAATATAGAAACGAATGATGTCTCTTCAATTTACATGTCCGTGTTAGACAGTCGGACCACTGATGCTGAAATTATGTCATGTATTAAAGATTTAAGAAATAACAAAGCCTGTGGTTCAGATAATGCACGTAACGAATATATCAAAGCCTCTGCTGATGTAATGCTACCAGCCTATGTTTAATTGCTTAACCTGGTACTAGTTCACGGGGTTTTTGCCCAAGCTTGGTCAGATGGTTACATAAAGCCCATATTTAAAAACAAAGGTAGCCAAGCCGACGCCGATACCTACAGGGGAACATCCATTGTTAGTTGCTTAGGCAAGCTGTTCACAGCAATCCTATCCAAGCGCCTACAAAGGTTTTCAGATAAGGCGAATTTGATAAGTGACTCAAAAGCTGGGTTTCGGAAATCGTATTCCACAATAGATGATATATATATTCTTAAAGCTCTGATAGATATATACCAAAATATGAGGAAGAAATTGTTTTGTATCTTTATAGATTTTCGTAAAGCATTTGATACTGTTTGGCGCTATGGTCTCTGTCAAAAAATGATTAGGAATAATATTGGTGTGAAATGTTTTCGCATTATCCATGACATGTATCAAAATATAAAATTTTGTATAGCACATAATGGGATTGAATCCCCTTTTTTCTCCTGTAATATTGGTGTCAGACAGGGCGAAAATTTGTCGCCTTTTTTATTTGCCCTGTATTTGAATGATCTCGAACATAATCATATTGGCTTGAAGTCAACTCAGAGTATGTTTGAAGATCATATAGGTTTGTACATTATGTTGTTTTTATTGTTACAGGCAGATGATACTGTAATATTTGCTGAATCCAGTGGTGATCTTCAGTATGCATTAAATATCTTCTCAGAATACTGCAAAATATGGCAACTGAAAGTTAATATATCAAAAACTAAGGTTGTAATATTCTCTATAGGAAGTTGTAAAAAAACTCCCATGTTCAAACTTGATGATGGAAATATTGAGGTTGTAAGAGAATACGTTTATCTTGGTATTTTGTTTAACAATAATGGACGTTTTTGTAAAGGTATTAAACGACTACATTCCCAAGCTTCCAGAGCCACGTATGCAGTATTGAGAAATATAAGAATGTTAGAGATGCCAGTTAAAGCTGTTTGACCAACTTGTACAACCCGTATTACTGTATGCTTCAGAAGTGTGGGGATATGAAAATAAACAAATCATAGAACGTCCCCATCTAAAGTTTTGTAAATTCATTCTCAAGGTTAAAATGACAACTCCTGATTACATTGTATACGGCGTGCTGGGTCGATATCCGCTAAATATATCTGTAAAAATCTGAATGCTTTGTCATTGGTGTAAAATGTTAATCTTCCCAGACAAGCTGTCATACAAAATATATTCTCTCATGTATACCATGAAGTCAACCTGGCCTAATTATAACTTTAGCCTGCTGACGGCAATAGAAAATATCCTACGGGATACTGGCTTATATCATATGTGGATGTCACAGTATATTGTTTCTCCTAATGCTTTACAAACTAAAGTCAAAGGATTCTTATTGACGAGTTTTATCAGTCATGGAATGCAACAGTAAATGCTTCCTCAAAAGGTAAATATTACAATCTTTATAAAGATTTACCTCATCTAAATTCTTATCTTATGGAACTATCTCCAAATCTTAGCATATGGTACACACGTTTGAGAACAGCTGACCACAGACTACCCATAGAAACTGGAAGATGGACTAACGTTGTGAGATCCGACAGACAATGTACAATATGTAATGAAGCAGTGGGCGACGAATATTACTTCCTCTTAACATGTCCATGTCTAGCAACCCTAAGAAATAAATATCTGACCAAATATTTTTGTAATTGTCCATCAATAGATAAATTCACCTCAATTATGAAATCCACTTATAAACCACCCGCCGTGAAATTAGCCAGATACATCAAGGAGGGCTTATGTTTGTACAAATGAGATTTATTATGTGCATAATTGTAATTTCTTTTTTGTTATTGTTGCCATGTATAAATTCACACTGTTCATATTGTAAATTACCTGTATGTTCTCTATGTCACACAAAGTGATTTATGAGAATAAACTTCTTCTTCTTCTTCGAAAAACGGCCCATGTTTTTACACGCCCCCAAAAGTCGCCTTCCTGCGAAGACACCAGTCAACTTTGTGTGCAGACTCTTTCAGTGTTCTCTCAACCCCTAGTGTACAATACAACCCTGTGCTCTTAAAAGAAACGACGTATTCGTTGGTAAATGAACACATGGTGGCCACATGAATACGTGCTGCGGCTACAGCAACGTGCAGTAAACTTGGACAAACTACTGTGGTATGTGTCCCGGGGAAAAAATATAGCGCTTTGAACATGCACATGGGATGGACTATAGCGCCATATAAATACCATATAATAATGATAATAAAGAGTACCAGAGTTAGGCAATTAGTCAATATTTCCCTTCAATCGATTGCGTTCGCAAAACATCGGTAATTTCCGAACATAAAACGTGACTCAGTTATTCGAGATAAAGAATAAGTAACACAAAATTGAATTTTTCCAGACAATCCAGTGATTGAAAGCATGAACATAAAACTACAAATGGGATACGATGACATACATCAACCAAGTCAGCGAGCCTGGCTACCCGTCAATCGCCTCTTACGACGAGCATAGGTTGCTGAAGACCAGTTTTAACTCGGGTCGTCACGGGTACCCTGGTCGTAAGTTGAAATCCCGTGGTCTGGCTGTTTGCTCTCGATTTCTCAAAGTTTGGTTTCCAATATCGATCTTACAAATGGTTGTTTGCTGTGGGCGCCCTGTGCGGGCTGATCATAATATGATCGGAAACCTGTTCCAGAGTTTGCAACGAAGAGTCAAAGACTCCACAAATTACATTGATTACCTCTCGCTAAGGTCTCCCAATTTGAAGACAACGCATTCACAATGAGATCACTAATTCTGATACATTTCGCCTATACGACACATGAAACCACATTTAAGCATAGATTTTGTACTCGATTTTGTCACATATTTTTCAGAGTACCTGTCTGTTGTTGTTTTGGGGGTTTTGTTTTGGAGGGGTCGTGTTTTATATCTGTTGGAAATGTTAAAAGCTAAAACACGTGCAGTCAAAACGACACGCACAATCAGAGTATATAATATGATGACCACTGACACATAACCAAGGCGAGCGTACCCTGGCTCGATACATACGGTAGTCGCTCATGCCCTCATTGCTAGAACTTCCGGTTGCTACTTTGTTGCTATAGCTAGCAGGGTGCAATATTAACTATAGGTCAGGCATATATGAGACAGGCAAAGAACAGAATAAACTACGATTAGTCATGACCGGTCCTTGCATCGTTCAACCTCCGGAAACGATTCTTCACAGTGACGTCACCTGCAACAAATACTCGAATTTGATTGGACAATCAAAACATTAGACACTATCAATTTGAATTGATCAATGCGTCTGATTTTATGACTGCGTCACTGTCTGCGCACGTATACAACGCTGCCTCATTACTTCCGCATCACCACCAACATCGCTGATGTATCAATACAGCAGACGTGATGAAAATATTATGATAAAATATTTACTAAAACTTTGTCTCGAAAATACAATTATATGATTTTTTCGTCCACAGAACCACCCTATCGTATTTGCTTCTATATATTTTAGCATTATTCAATCTCAATTTCAACGTATAGGCCTAACCATAAACAAACAATATTTAACTTATCGGAAAACCTTGTAGAAACACATCCCTATGTATACACAATTAACAGCGAAATGTTAATAAAACATTGCTTCCCTGATCAACTCTATGTTTGTTTCCTTTAGAATGGCTTACACAACATAGGATAAACAGTAAGTTAGGAACACTTCCTGAAGAAGAACCTAGTGTCACACCTTCGATACTTTTATGTAGAACTTCGCAAGAGTCAGGCGAAACCATTGTATAATGTTCGAAGTGAATAAGCTCATGTCATCCCAGTAATAAGTGTCACAGCGTATCTATTAACAGTATATAGTATGTTAAGTTCCCATTTGTTTGTTGTTTAATGCCACACTCAGCAATATTTCAGCTGTATGGCGTCGGTCTGTTAATAATCGAGTCTCGGCCAGACAATCCAGTTATCGATGTGATGAGCATTGATCTACGCAACTGGTTAACGATGTTATGTGTCAAACAAAGTCAGCGAGCCTGACCAGATCCCGCTAGTTAGGTCTTACGACTTGTTGTCGACGATGTAACCCTGGTCCTCACGGTGAGGATGTTAAGTTATCAGAATTTTAAGAATTATAAGTTATCAGAAGAGTTTGTCAATCAAATTTTAAAAGTATACTTCATGTTTGACTCTAATATGACCATGTCAACAGTTTCCCTATCCAGCTCGATCAAGCAAACACGTGACGTTCTGTTTCCTTATTTTCGATTCATATGCGTCAGCTACATAAAGGACATGAAAGGATATATTTGTCAATTGTATGTGATTTCGCTTTACATTGTAATTCGCCATGGCTTTTATGAGAAGACTTAATTGTTCATTGCTGTATCTGCTTACTTCAACGGCATATCTGGGTAAGTTCCATTTGAATATGTACATATGTATATGGGTTCACTGAAATCTTTAGAACCGCGTAGACATTAACACTCATGGTATTGATATTAACTGATACTGCTGAAGTTGTTACATGTATTTGTCCTAAAATTTTGTTTCTCAGTCTCATTGCATCTTATCAGGCTAACAGATTTTGTCCCTTGTATACTTCGTTATAGATACCCATAGTAACCAAAGTTAATGAGTCATGCTTTCTCTAGCAACCACCAACAAGGGCCATTGCGGAGGCGGGACATGGGGCGAGATGTGTAAGGAACAATGCCCACCTGGATGCGCTACATTTAGAGACGTTGTTCATTGTGATAAGCTGAATGGAGAATGCTTTGAGGGTTGCATCAGTGGATTGTACGGAGACACATGTGCAGTGAGTTGTAGCACAGGGTGTTTGGATGGGAATTGTGATCAGTTTGACGGCAAATGTGTTCAGTGCAAAGAGGGATGTTTTGGACCCGACTGTGGAAATTGTTCATCACAGAAAACTCCGTCAACAGCAGTTCAAATAGCTCCAACAGGTAGGAAACTTACATATTATCGGCATCCATATTGATTACACAAAGCGATGATTCATTACATCATAAATATTTTGGAACATGCTAATTTAACACATGTTTTACTTGGGATTTCACTTTCTCAGTAAAGTACAGATTCTAGTACTTTTGATGGGATTCGGGATTCAACCAACGCATTCAGTATCAGATAACTGACACAGCTTCGTCCATTTGAATAAACATATGGCACATATTTGGATTGAATCTATGAAAATATAGACCTGAAACCAATACAACTCAAGTTCCACGTCATCGTTTATGTTCCACGTTTCAGCTCCCTTTCCTCCAAGACATGCCTGTTCAAATGGAACATGGGGTGACAAGTGTGACAAACCATGCCCCACTCACTGTATACAATACATGGGCCGAAGTTGTAATGAAACAACAGGTGTCTGTTTGACTGGTTGTCTCCGAGGTTTCTATGGCGAGCGCTGTGACAAACTATGCAGTAGAAGTTGTGAGGACTCGGTTTGTCAAAGCGCGAGCGGGCAGTGTGTCAGCTGCGAAAAAGGGCAGCGTCTATGCGGCGATGTTCCTACATCAAATGGTATAATAAATTTTATGATCTAGTCTTAGAGAAGTCAGTTTTGGTATACAAAATCAAACTTAAAGTAGACGTGTCTCAATTCAATTCAATTCCTTATTCTCATAAACTACCTTGGTGGTACAAGAGCATATATTGTAAACATATATACAAATACAAATTCAAATTCAAGATGGCAGAAAACAACATATTAACATTGGTGAGATGATAGATGTAGGATATATTTTGATAGATTGACTATGTCTCGAGATAGTGTTACAGATAATATTTTCGTAAGCTTGTTTTATTGGGAAAAGAGGTTAGATGGGTGGGTAAATATCGTTTCCTCAAAGTATCTAGTGCTTTGCAATGAAAAATATAATGATAATCATCTGCGATGTGTTTAGAAATGCATAGCTGACACATTCTCTCGTCTCTTGGAATATTATACCAGCGGCCCGTCTCAATAGGTAAACTATGGTTACATGTTCTAAAACTCAATAATGGTAAAGAAATACGTTTTGGAAGGAGATATGCATCAAAATTAGAAAATGGCTTCAGGTGTTGATAGTAAATTCCCTTGAGACTAGAAATAATTTCATTGTGCTAGTTTGGGATAAACTGAAATTTAAGAATATGTTCAACTTTTGAGACCAGCAACTGGGCTGTGCAAATTGAGGGATTTTCAAAAAACATACGAGAGTCCAGTATTGTCGAATATATTTTTAACGTGCGAGAGCCAGGATTATCTTTTATATGTATTGTTCTTTGAAGTGATAAACATTTGTGAATTAAGTTGGAAAGCTTAAAAACACCTTCTTGGTGAGTTAGCTTGTGCCAAAAGTTTAAAAATGGTTTATATATCATAATTCTAATAGGGAATCTTCCTAGTTCTCCATACTGCATAAGACGAGGGGTTGAATGTCTTAATCCTCTAATGTGTCTTTATCATTTTAAATGTATTTTATCCAAAATTTCAAGGTTTTCGAAAGACCAGACTTCTTCACCATAGGCCAAGATAGGTAGTGCCATTATGTCAAATGCTAACAATAAACAGTCTAAAGGCAAGTCTAACTTTCTAGCTTTTTTCACTAAATTATACATAGCTTTTGAAGCACTTTTGCTTATAGTTTTAATACTTGATACGGGCTTTCAGTTTCTATGGAACGTTATACCCAGGTAGGTATAACTATCAACTATTTCAAGTAATTTACCCTCCAAATTAAATTTAATTCTTCTGCTTTTTTATGGTCCTCCCCCAAATATTACTATTTTATTTCTGTTTATATTAAGTTTTTGCTTCCATGAGTCACAATAGTCCTTAAATGTGTCTAGCGCATCTTGCAGTCCCTTGGATGATTCATCAAATAATATTGTATCATCCGCATATAATAAAATTAACAACTTTACAAATATCACCAAATCTTCGTCTTCAATATAGTTTAGATTTACACCATTACAGTCTGAAGTAAGCAAATGAAATTCATTATCATTTATGAAAAGGGGCGGTGGGGTAGCCTAGTGGTGAAAGCGTTCGCTCGTCATGCCGAAGACCCGAGTTAGATTCCCACATGGGCACAATGTGTGAAGCCCATTTGTGGTGTCCCCGGATGTGATATTGCTGGAATACTGCAAAAAAACGGCGTAAAACCATATTCACTCACTCATTTATGAAAATGGAGAATAATAATGGTGACAAATTGTCCTCCTGTATGATACACCATTATTATATTGTTATACATTGATTTAACAAGATTCCGGATTTACCCTCTATACCAATCATTTGCATTTTTTTCCACAATCCCAATCGCCAAGCAATATCGAAAGCTTTTGTAAAAATATTGATTACACCAAGCGATGCTGCATTACCTGTATCATAAATATTTTGGAACATGCTAATTTAACACGTTTTACCTGGGATTTCACTTTCTCAGTAAAGTACAGATTCTAGTACTTTTGATGGGATTCGGGATTCAACCAACGCATTCAGTATCAGATAACTGACACAGCTTCGTCCATTTGAATAAACATATGGCACATATTTGGATTGAATCTATGAAAATATAGACCTGAAACCAATACAACTCAAGTTCCACCTCATCTTTTATGTTCCACGTTTCAGCTCCCTTTCCTCCAAGACATGCCTGTTCAAATGGAACATGGGGTGACAAGTGTGACAAACCATGCCCCACTCACTGTATACAATACATGGGCCGAAGTTGTAATGAAACAACAGGTGTCTGTTTGACTGGTTGTCTCCGAGGTTTCTATGGCGAGCGCTGTGACAAACTATGCAGTAGAAGTTGTGAGGACTCGGTTTGTCAAAGCGCGAGCGGGCAGTGTGTCAGCTGCGAAAAAGGGCAGCGTCTATGCGGCGATGTTCCTACATCAAATGGTATAATATTATTATGATCTAGTCTTAGAGAAGTCAGTTTTGGTATACAAAACCAAGTGTCTCACAGCATGTGACCACCACATTATTCAATGGTCATCTCCAAAGTCCACATTACTGAGAGCCGAATTACAGAAATACCCGTTTATCTATCACTATGTTAAATATCAGTTCGATAACAAATGAAAACATATTCAGTCGACTGTAGTATTATGTTTCCTTTTCCTTGTAATGGTATATTTTAGTACTGTATGTCGGCTGCAAATTGTCCCTCGATATTACTGGACACTGTTCATACAGCTTCTGACAACACTTGATTCATTTGTCTTTTCAGAGGCTGTGCCAATATCACTGGATAGAACTTTGGGTTATGCATTTTCAGGCTTACTGTTTGTTTTGGTTACAATAATACTGATCTTTCAATGTCGACATCATCACCAATCCAGATACAGGTACGTCATTATTTAGGGTGCGTTTTACCTACAATGTCAATACAAAATCAGGGTTACCCCGCGTGCATGACATTCCAGTGCAGGTTTGGAGTGTATGACACCTGTTTATAATTGAGATGACAAAACTTTATGGATGAATAACTTCTATATTTTCGCAATAGCGACGTATTGGTATAGATTCTTATACCGTTTTCAAGCATATGACGGTATAAGAATCTATACCAAAACGTCGCTATTGAAAAAATGAAGAAGTTGATTATCCATAAAGTGTTGTCATCTCTATATCACCAACTTCATTAATGCCAATCAAACATATCTGTTTAGAATTATTACGTCACACACTTAAGACAACACTCATGAATCCAACACTAATACATGACTGTTCCCATCTGTTACATGTTCATTCCGCTGATTCTGTATTGTTGTTATCCTTTCACAGGCACACAAGCCGCGGTGAGACTGGCAATCCCGGAACAGCACCATCGTACCCATCAGGTGTACGTGACTCTGGCGTGACTGAATACCATAGATACTGGGAGATAGACGAATCCGAGTTAGAACAGTCTGAACACAGAATGTCGGGTACTGAGACACATAGGAGCAGGAGTGAATCTGCTGCTACACCTGGCTATGTGAGACCACGCGAGCAATCCATTATGCAGAACCACTTGATGGATGGTAATTGCGCCGATACGCCTGACAAGTGTGTTCCTCTTCAAAGTACTCATGAATATGAAACTGTTGCGTCATTTGACAATATCGTAAGCGATTCCAGTGGCATGTTATATCTGAGAGATGATGCTGGCGACATCAGTGTTAGATATATTTCAGCAGAGACGACAATGTAAAATTTCAGCTTGAAGTTAGGATGACATTATGCTTAGTCTTCGGCAATAATTTGACATTATATTTAGCTTTATTGTTTTGGGTTTTTTTAGAAATTGCAATTAAGTTTGTACTGCAACAGAAACTTGAATTACTCTTTAAGACTTCTACGCCATCATTATTCATTTTGCTGTAACCCTATTGTAACCCTATTGTATTTAAGTTACTAATAAAATGTTGAAGATTTAAGCATTTTGTATGTGTTGTCTGGCAGTTGTCATATTATACTACTGCTGCCATTGATATCAAAACTTGAAGCTTAATCAAGTCTCCTTCTGAACTGTTGGTGTACTTAAAAGGAACATGGAGAGATGGGTGGTGGTGGAATCCCTGTCAGGAATTGTCGAAACGGAATACTTAGTCAAACCACATTTAAGATCCAACGAAAAGTAGAGTTGTTGCTGTCTCTTGAGGTAAGAAATTATCAGTGTTACGTGGACGTTGTGCCCTCGAAATGTCGTCCATGAAGACGTCTAGGATGTCAGTGAAGTACTGTTGTCCATTATGTAGTTGATCGTCACACGGTCAGTTTACAGTCATGTACATCCCGATTGGAAGGCATGAATGAACCTCCGTCAACTCCGTTGTGTGCATCCAGTATTTCTGCAGATGTACGAGTGCCACGTGCCACGAAGGTGTAGATGCATAAATATACTTGCATCTTAGTTGTAGACCGTGAAGTCATTTTTCCGTGAAGGTTAAGTTTTACACCACTTTGTTTGCTGTTTCACAAACTCTGGAACGTTGAGACGTCGTCAATAATGAAAAGCCTTCATTCATCTTGAGCCGTAAAAAATGTTACCAGTTGACAACCTATGGATTTAAGTATTTAGAATGAGGGCATACAGCATGCTGATATGTAAGCACGTATTAGTCCTAATAATCATCAGTTTTAGATGTTGCGTTAAGGTTTTGCAAATGAGGTAACATCATGTTAAAAATATAACGGGACATAGTTCATTTTGATTATTCCAAGGAGTTGGTGAGCGAGTTTAGTTTTACGCCACGCTCAGCAATATTCCACCTTTATGGCGGCAGTCTGTAAATACTGGGGTCTGGACAAGACAATCTCGTGATCAACAGCATGGGCATCGATAAACGCAACTGGGATACGATGACATGTGTCAACCAAGTCAGCAAGTCTGACCACCCGATCCCGTTAGTCGCCTCTTACGACAAGCATGGGGTACTGAAGATCAATTAGAACCCAGATATTCACGGGTCCATTCTAAGGAGTTATATGAATACATGACTTTTTTTCATAACTATACTTTTTTTATTCTTTATCAGGACGTTTCAGAGATAATACTACTTCATCAGGTGAATGCTGTGTAAGTTTAGTTTATAGTCTGTTTGACTTCATTTGAGACCGATGAATTGCTCACTAACACAAAATCTAATAAATACAACAAAACCAAGTTTTGCACATTCGCATGAAATATCGACAGACCAACTCTAATGATTTGTCTCATAATTTTGGACACCCGAATAAAAAAGTTGTTTAACAAACGATCATTATTTTGTTGTCACTTTTCGCTATTTCTTACGAGGGAGGACCACTCTCTGATTACCTGGCTGTTCTACCAGCAAGTGGTCCTCCCTCGTAAGAAATAGCGAAAAGTGACAACAAAATCCATAACATCACCCACGTCAACACCCTCCCAAAAACAAATCTATCACAATATAACGGATACCTGATGACTCCTACATACCTGGGCCTAAATGTTCGAAGCTCTCTTAGCGCTAAGACAGTCGGAAGTTAATGTTAATGTATGGCACTTACGACTATCTTAGCGCTAAGAGAGCTTCGAAAATCTAGGCCCTGGTAATTACTGGCAGCTAACAAAGTGCCAAAATTTGTCTCCCACGACCCTCCTGGATAAAATATTTTCTCGAATCCACAGTGGCATTTCCTACAAAAACTCCTATCTACTCAAAATAAATAAATAAATAAAGACACACAGATAATTGCAATCATTGCCACACCACTGAGGACATAAGTCGCATTTATAAAACATGCACCATCCACAAACAACAGCTCAATTCACAGCCCCATACTCATACTCTTAAACATGCCAACCTCGAACAACTATTCCCCCCTCCAACCCACAACATATACACAGCTATCAGCGCTTTCATTCAATAAAAAATTAAAAACTCCGCAAAGAAATTATAACAAAACGTAAAACACACATCTTCCCCACCCACAAATTCGCAGACCTGACAACATATCAAGAACATGAGGTAAACCCCTCACCTCGTTTACTCATACTGGACATAACCCTACATCGGAACCATATCTTAAAATGTGCTATGAAATCAACACACATGAGCACCATGACACCACCGTACCGATTCCTTCCCAGCACAACATTTAGTTGAATGGTAAAGTCTTTCACCCTTTTTCTTTGTCTGTAGGTCCACTATTATTAAATATCAGCTTTATAATACATCTCCCAACAACTAGCATAGGTATTTATGTGAATTTATTTCTTCAATTAAGGTCAGACAAAATATTTATTCATATCCCTGTATTACCGCCCTATATCTATCCCCTAAATGTAGTTTTCTGGGTGACAGGTTTTACTTATCATATCAAAGACTTTGGCATACTGTCATTTATTTAATAACCCACATTACCCCATCGACGAAACTGGCGGTCCTTTTTAGATCTCCGCTATCTCCCTTTTAGATCTCCTAATTAGGTGATACTGTCTCCTAATTAGGACTTAATATCTCCTAATTAGGACTTAATATCACCTAATTAGGACTTAAGGATCTTATAAATACGTTTGAAAAAAGTCAACCAGTAGTTATTCACTTCTTCTGTTTAGGTTTAGCATCTTGGATGAAGTCATGGATGAAAGCATATGCATTTGTTTCATGTTGGGCTTGCAGTATTCAGAAATTGTGTCTTGTCTGGCCCATGTAAATGGCATCATTATCAGCATATTGTCCAAACGTCATTTGCTGCATTTAGTAGTGGCAGAAGAACACCCAACTGCACGTACTTCCATAGAGATCGGGTAGCCTTCCTGAATACGAGAGGCAACCACGCTAATGACGTCACGAGGGGGAATCCCCCTCGCGTCCTCTGTAGCGTGGTCCGACGCCATGTTGAAAAAACACAAGTCGTCCGTTTGAGTAAGGACACATGCCACCTGGTTGGTGGTGGTTGTGATGGTGGTGGTGGTGGTAGTGTGTGGTGGTAATGGTGGTGGTGATGGTGTGTGGGGGTGATGGTGGTGGTGGCTGGCGGTAGTGTGTGGTGGTGATGATGATAGTGGTTGTGGTGATGGTGGTGGTGGTGTGTGGTGGTGGCGGTGGTGTGTGGTGGTGATGGTCGCGGTGGTGTGTGGTGGTGGCGATGGTTTGTGGTTGTGGTGGTGTGTTGTGTTAGTGTGTGATGGTAGTGGTGGTTGTTAGTGGTGTTGATGGTGTTGGTGTGTGGTGGTGGCGGTGGTGGTGGTGGTGTGTGATGGTGGTGGTGGTGGTGGTGCGTTGTGTTAGTGTGTCATGGTAGTGGTGGTTGTTAGTGGTGCTGATGGTGGTGATGTGTGGTGTTGGTGGTGTGTGGTGGTGGTGTGTGGTGGTTGTGGTCTGTGGTGGTGTTGTGGTGATGGTAGTGGTGGTGTGTGGTGATGATGGTGGTGGAGTGTGGTGGTGATGGCGGTGGTGGTGGTGTGTGTTGGTGATGGTGGTGGTGTGTTGTGTTAGTGTCTGATGGTAGTGGCGGTTGTTAGTGGTGTTGATGGTGGTGGTGTGTGACGGTGGTGGTGGTGTGTGTGTGGTGGTGGCGGTGGTGTGTGGGGGTGATGGTAGTGGTGGTGTGTGGTGATGGTGGCGGTGGTGTGTGGTGGTGGTGGTGGTGGTGGTGTGTGGTGGTAGTGTGTCGTGGTGGTGGTGTGTGGTGGTGGTGGTAGTGGTGAAATGTGGTGATGGTGGTGGTGGTGTGTGGTGGTGGTGGTGGTGGTGTGGTGGTGTGTGGTGGTGATGGTGGTGCTGGTGTGTTGTGTTAGTGTGTGATGGTAGTGGCGGTTGTTCGTGGTGTTGATGGTGGTGGTGTGTGGTGGTGGTGGTGGTTTGTGGTGGTGTGTCGTGGTGGCGGTGGTTTGTGGTTGTGGTGGTGTGTTGTGTTAGAGTGTGTGATGGTAGTGGTGGTTGTTAGTGGTGTTAATGGTGTTGCTGTGTGGTGGTGATGGTGGTGGTGGTGGCGGTGATGGTGGTGGTGGTGGTGGTGTGCTGTGTTAGTGTGTGATGGTAGTTGTTGTTGTTAGTGGTGTTGATGGTGGTGATGTGTGGTGGTTGTGGTGGTGGTGGTG